GATATTTTAGGCTGTTTTGAAGTTGTAGTGAGAACTGAGTACTATGCACTTTGCAGCATTTGTTCCCAACTTGAATCAGGAAGGGACGAGAGAGTCTCTCTCAGGTTCTGTTTAAGGTGTTCCTGAGTAGTAATTACCTCAGGATTGATAACTCAATAGTAAGTGCAGATGATGTACCATACATTGTGGTAAGCATTTTACAGGTTATCACACTTAAAATACACAGCGACTCTACAAAGGTAGGGATTACAATGCGCATTTTACAGATTGGAGGATTGTGTTCAGCTAGGTTAAATTACTTGCTCAAGGTCACCTAGCTAGTGCACCAAAGCTCTCAGTCCCGATCACCTGCCTCCTGGTGTCCTAAATGAATTGTTAGGCAAGTATTTGTTGCATCCACCCACGGATTTTGAATTTTAATATGGGTACACATTTCATTGCCCTCGTTTGTTACACAGTTAAGTTCCTCTAGGGAAAACATCTTATTACTTTGTTTCCCATAGTAAGCACTAAAATAACTGGGTAAGAAGTTAACTGATAGAGAACAGTTAGTTCCACATGACCTAAAACCATTTTATTTCATTATCATTGTAAATAAGATTATAAAATAACCCACACTTTTAAGTTGAGATGGACTTTCTGCTGGTTTCATTAGAATTTTTCCCCCATTGATTCCTGGTAATTGAGGTGATTCTAGGCCAGTTTCTCTGTAGTTGCACATTAGTGTAGCTGACTGGTGACTGGTCTTCTACCCCACGTGAGCAGGTCTCTATTAAAAGGATTCTGGAGCATATAAGGCCTTAGGAGACATTAGAGATGGTGTTAGCTAAGGCCTTGATTAAGCATGGGGAGCTATGTATAACTGGGGGTAAATTTATCTGCTCAGAGGACTTGATAGTACTTTTCATACCTTTCCCCAAGAAAATCTGATTTATCTCAACCATCTTCATAAGTGCCTCAAAAAAGCAGCATGGATACAGTGATTGCTAGATAGATATAAAGATTAGAAGAATTTTTCCATAGATTGAAATCGTTCACCCACCCATACCTTTCCCCTCTTCTCTTAATTTTGGTTACAAATAATGGTACTGTCACCCACTCAATGTCAAAACAAAGAAACCAGGATTCATACTACATTTCTTATTCTTATGCCAACAAAATAAGTCTTGTAGTTTTACCTTTTAAATATTTCCCGAATTTGTCCCTTCTCCATCCCTACTATTATCCATTAGTTTAAGCTCTGTGCTCCTCATTCCAACCTTTGCCGCCTGCCTTAAACCCGGTCTCTGCTCTTTAGCCAGTGGCTTGTACAGAATCCAGATCCGCCCATGCCTTGGCACACTAAGGTACACTTGGCACACTAAGGTCCAAGGAACACTAAACTCGGGAAGGTACGTGGAGCCCTCTGTTACCTGGCTCCTGCACCCTTTCCAACTTTTCCTGCCAATTTCCACCTCACCTCGTATGAGCAACAACGAACACTCTGCCATCCTAATACCCTGGCATCTTTTTAAAATTTTTTGTATCATTTTATGCTACAATTATCTGTTTCTGGCTCTGTCGCTGGACATTATCCAAGGCAGGGACTTTCTAGTTTACCTTTGTGCTTCAAATGCCTGACACAGTGCCTAGACTGTAGCAGGCACTCAAGTGTTTACTGAACTGCCGGCCCTTTTCCTCTTCTTGAAGAAAGTATAACATAATTTAATAAACACTGGTCATTATAAAACTCCCTCCCCCCCCCAAGGTTTTCCCTCCAATTCCAGGCTTCTTCATTTATATGTAGTGGGCAGCGAATGATTTAATGTGGAAGTTCTCATGCCAACAATTATGTTTATGCAGCGTTTTGTTTTTTTAATCCTCGCCTGAATGAGAATATTTTTTCCATTGATTTTTAGAGCGGGTGGAAGGGAGGGGAGAGGGGGAAAGAGAGAAACACCAATGTGAGAGAGACATGTCAATTGGTTGCCTCCCACACGGGCCCTGACTGCAGGTGGGGATCAAACCTGCAATCCAGGTATGTGCCCTTGACGGGGAATCGAACCCGAGACCCTCTGGTGCGCAGGCCGATGCTCTAACCACTGAACCACACTGGCCAGGGCATATGCAACGTTTTTCACCAACATAATTTTGCTGGTGACTGCAAGTACCCAAGGGGAATGAGTGAGCTCCAACACTGACATGCGCACCTGCTTCGATTCTGATTTGAAATGCAGAAACGCAGGGCTAACCACCAGATGACCGTTTCTAGGGATCAGAATCACGTTAGTGAAGATGAGAGAAATGAGAAAAGCACAGAAAAGGAGTTTTGTGTTATTTTGTGATGTTATTTTCCTATTTCGATCAACCTAAATAAAAGGCTTTCTGTTAGAAAAGTAAATGAATAAAATACTATCCAACTTATTTAAGGGGAAGATGATTCAGTACACATTTAAAATATATTTTCAAGGCTTGAACAAGATGCAGCGTAGGTAACCGCAGTCAGTCCCCACCTCCCGCAACCACATCAAAATCACAACTAAAATATAGAACCACCCTCACTCAGAGCCTCTTGAGATCCGGCTGAACAGAAGCCAACAACCAGGGGGAGCTGAAGCAGCACCGAGAGCGGGAGGAGGGGCGGAGACGCGGGAGGGTTGGGCTGAATCGGAGAGACGGGCCCGCGGGCCCACACCCAGTGCTGCGGGTTAAACCCTGGCAGGAATCTTGGTGGCGGAGGTTTCCCAGAGGAGTGAGGGGTCCCAGCCCCACAGCAGGCCCCCAGCCCAGGGCTCCAGGGCCGGGAAGAGACGTCCCCACAACTCCGGGCTGTGAAACCAGCGGGGACTGTCCCTGAGGGTCGCGGAGGCTGCGGGAGCCCCAGCAGCTCCTCTAAAGGGCCCGGCACGGACTCACTCGGACGCTCCCTCTGAGCCCAGCGCCGGGCAGCAGCC